ACGTGTTTACTCAGTATTTGTCACGCAAGATACGGCTTCGTCGACTTGCTCTCGCTGTAAACGCTGTCCTTCTGGTGATATACTTTGTTTAGCGCTGGATTCTTGTCTAATCCTTAGGCTACTCATTTCACAAAAAGTCGAAACAGCCCACAAGACGCTTACATCCCCAAGTGTTGCATAAATTGAGTACTTCGGCTCTCCTAATTCTTACCCTGTTTATGTATTACTCAAGTAGCGTTATTTAAACTTAGGTAGCGACAATTTTTCTAACAGAACAAGGACAATAACAAGCTCCTATACTGAAAATGTTATTTATTTTAACAAATGGCTTTGTAATGTAATCGAAATAAGCTTTCAAGGGAGAGATAATACAAATATTAGGAAAACATAACGTAGTAATATTCTCCAAAGTTGACAAATGTTTGAATTGGTGAAGAATGCGATAACCAATAAAGAAACTACTTGCAAACCCAAAAGAACTCGACCAAAGATTTCGTTTTGTTCAATACCGCACGATGTCGGGATTCTGATGACATTTCAACCCAACAACAATTCAACAGTAATTCATATCGTTCCCCTTATAGGACTGACTTGAGTTGTTTAGATATAATGAGAATCTCATGAGTTGTTTGCGGGTGTTCCTTTTCGCATATTTTTTGTTAAAAACGAGTAAGGAACTCATCAGGATGCCAGAAGACTGCATGCAAGTTCCTTAATAATCTCCTGATATTAATTTTCTGCTTTATTGCGAGTGAAGTACCATCGCTAGGCAAGGGACGTCATCATATCTTATCGTTCGAGGAGTTGTTTCCACAAATCTCTTCATTTGATATGATATTTGAATCTACCCCACACTTTTTTAACTTCCAAGGATGGATGTCTCAATTTTGGAAGCAGCTCATTCCATTTTTTCGAAATAAACGGTGTTTGACGCCTTGTCCCCACGTAGCGCTTTACCCATAACTATATCATAGTCACAGCTTTCCCGTTCCATGAATAGGAACTTTATCGCTTCGTCAGCAAGTTCGTCCAAATATATCTGTAAAAGGAAAGTTATCGATTTAACCGAAAGTTCGATTTTTTTTCTATGTGGCGCACACATATCCCTACCGCTCTTTTGTTGTGTTTAAGCAAAGAAAAAGGCTTTTTTAATTTTTTTTATTATTCTGCAGAAACAGTGACTTTCTTTTCTTACGGAAAAATAGAAACATCTTTTGTTTTTGTGAACTCGTGCGGCTAAAAAAGGAAAGCCCCGCCGGGAGTCACAGCAAGATCAGTGTGCTTGCGTTTGAAGGACGCTTTCACAGTATCTGTCACATAAGCCTCAAATGAGTCGTAAACTAGCAAGCTCTTTCTCCTCCCCGAGCCACCGATCCGCGCACTTTTACTTTCTTCGTTGTTTTTAACGTATGCAAATTAGGACGTGCTTGACAAACAATAGAATCGTGTATAATACGCACCGCGATTTTGGTGGTTATTTTTACAGAAAAATTGCGCATTATACACGGGTAAATACGGTACTGTCCAGAACTTTGTAGTCCGCAAACTCTAATTTGAGAAATCAAGAAAAGAGGCAAAGCTTAATAACGTTTGGGCATGTCCAGCTCGCTCGTGAATCCATAGCAACTGTGGATGCTTGCCAAAATGACGACAATTAAAAATCTCCGATATGTTGTGGTAAACACTCATCAGTTGGATCTCTTTTAAGCAGCTTGCACTATCTACTTGTTTTCACTGAGACAGATCATCGAACCGCGCCGCTGTTCAATTTATTCAAGATGATGTTATGGTTTCACAACCAGGCTTGCGCAAGTTCGTGACGAAAGGAAAAATTCTTCAGCACTATCACAAAAATATACATGTTTGTCAGCAGTCTTGACCTATAACAATTATGTGTAAGTGGAGGAAAAGGAGCTGCAAAGAAAGTGAAAGTTGTCCAGCATAAACTGAGCATCATTTTGTTGGTAAGGAAAGCAGGTGCCTCTGTGTTTGTGTGTAACTCATAAATGATTTTAATCTATGGAAAGGAGATGAGTGTTGATTGACAAAGAAAGACAAAGAACCAACGACGCTAAATTTAATTCACGGAAGACGAAAGCAATTGCAATTATTGTTTCATAGATAGTAATCTGAGGAGACGCAAAATTTGCTCGGAGTTAACGTGAAGGTAGTGTTTAAGGACTTTGAAATAACTACCAGTAAATGGTAGAAATAGGAAATTAAGAAAGAAACAAACAAAAGAGAAACAAACAAAAATCCAGGAACAAAACGAAAAAGTCTTAAAAAACAAACTAAAATGGACGAAAACTAGGACAAAAACAAAACAAAAAGACAAAAACTAGGTAAAAATAAAACAAAAGAGGACAAACTTAAATATTACATGTATGACCGAAATACACGAGAAAAAGGATATGGGCTCAACTTATAACAAAATTCGATTCCCGAGGCTTCGATTCATTTGCGACCTTCAGATGAGGACTCGCCGAAGTCCTTCGAGGATTCGTTGGAGTATATCAGTGATGTACTTGGAGCCACTGGAGTAGGTGATGGCGATGGCTTTTTCAGTTCTGCAAGCTCTTCCTTCACAGAGTCGAGTCGCTTTGTCAGTAGGTCGATCACTGAGCAAACTGAAATACACTACCATAGTACGAGTAAATAAAAGTGAAACCTTGAGTAAAATTTTCTTTGTACTGAGATGTCAAATTAACGGCTAATTCAAGATGTTATTGGTTTCTTTGTTTCCTTTCCTTTAACTTTACGCCTCGGACAAACAGGGGGGAGGGGAGGCGGTCGATACAACCCCCCTCCTTCGGATTTTTTTGTTATTTAATCTTATCAGGAAGATTTTATCTGGCGATTGTTCACTTCAGTAACCGTTTGTTTATCTCTGAAACGTGAAAATCGACTTAAAGATATAGCAGAAATTTATTGACAAGTGAGATGTGATTTAAGGATTAATATGAGCTACCAAAAAAAAATGAAAATTTCATGTTGGAAAGGGAAGTACAGTATACCTATTATTTATTTTCTAAGTCTTATTTTCTGTTTTCTTGTCAAGTTCAAAAGCTGTTGTTTGATTGACAAGCCAAAAAGTATCGTGAAAAAATGGAAAAACACCTCCATGTTGGATGACGTCACTGGCCTCAGCAGACTCCTCTCAATATGCATCCCATGATATTAACATAATGTTGCAGATGAACTGAATCATAGAATGAATAATTTATTGATGAAAAAACTCTCTTTTACTTTTACCAGATGTAAGCTTTCAAGTTTACTTTTACCGGATGCGAACTTTAAAGTGAAAGTTGAAGAAAACCTGCTGGGTTATTTTATACAAAGACGTCTACAAAGTTTCAGAGACAAAAAGTGAATAATGAGTGAGAAAACTGTGATAAGTGACCGTGACTCTGTAAAGACAACGTGTATGTCTTAAATCCAAAAATAGACCTCGGATGATATTTGAAACAGTTTAAACGCACATAATTGTTGAAGAGAAAGCTTTAACAAAATACCCCAGTTGGTGTAACTACATGATTAGTCAATTAAATATGGAAGAGAAAAAATATGAATGCTCTGAGGAATGTGTAAAGCCTTTGGTTTGTTCCGTCGTACTTTGTACGATCGTCGCACTAGGATACCAGGCGCACTTTGTATTAACACTTATCGCACTTTGTAATAACGCTTACCGCACTTTTTAAGTAACACTCGTCACACTTTTTGATTAAAAAGTTGCCTGTTGTGTTGTCTCGAACGAAAACAAATACCTTGACCGTGCCTTTTCAAAAACAACTTTAACGACGACTTCATCCGACGAAACAATTACCGACTTACCAGAACTACCGAAATAAACGACACCGCAACTCCTACACTTACAGCGACTATACCATACATAAAGAGCATGTCTGATAACATCTCGCGCATCCTACAACCCTTCAATATCCACGTCGTCCACAAACCCATCACTACACTACGTCAGTTACCAACAAACGTCAAAGACAAGGACGAACCGAAGAACAGACAGGGAGCAGTGAGATCAATTACTCCGACTGCCAAGCCCCATACATCGGAGAGACTGGCAGAAACAAAGAGTCCAAATAGTTCGTGTTTGAAGAAACTACGTGAACAAGCAGTCTGTTGATTTCCAGTGCCTCTCGATTTATCCTGGAGCTTCCAGCTGAGACTTGTAGAGAATTTTCAAACAAGTGAAGGTGGACAGGCGTTGAACGGCTTTATTCTATCAGATCTGGAGAGAATATACTCGCTTACACTGACACGAAAAACGTAAGGTACCTTTATGTTAACATCCAATGGCAAAGCCTTATATACAAAAACGAAGAAAAGAAACGTGTATAATATAAAGGCCAATATCTTAGACAATGGCTCCGACAAGCCGAAGTACAAAGATAATAGGGTTAGCTGCAAAAATAATTGAGATCGTTGCAAAGATCTGGCCGCGGCAAGAAAGCGTTATTTCCAGAAATAGGAGGAAGGGCGGAGTTTGCGCTAGATGGCCCAGACGAGCTTAGTGACATCAGATTCCAACGTCGTGACGAGTCGTTCATAAATTCAACAGACGGGTAAACAAAGTCAGGTTGAAAAGTTTTGTGCCACACAAGCATTTCACACCAAGTTTACTGTAATCGGGGCAATCATTCGATGGACCATGCCTTTAGAAAAAGTTTTTCATCTGCCACAACGTTCTTTCAGTTTTGTTTCGGTTTTGCTTCAGGACAAATCTTGCTGTGACAAGAATAAATTTCGTAGCTAATTGACAACTGACAAAACTTTAAAAAATTAACCATTCATAAGATTTTTCTTTCTTAAGTTTCCTATATTTTGTGTGTCGCAGAATTTTTCCAATCTGTTTCAGAAAGCTATATGGTCTGTTTGTTTGTTTGTCTGCTAGTAAGTATCTCGAAGACGAGCGATTCCGAACTTCCGGTTTTAGCCCAGTTCACTTCCGCTTACTTGAGCCGATCACCCAGGATACATTGCTCAATTTAAAAGATGGCGGACAAGGTGAAGTGAAAATTTATCTGAAATAATAAGCTCAGAGGGGAAAGATTTCAGAAGAATCTAGGGCTTTGGAAGCCTCTTGTGAATTGCAAAACAGAGGTGATCATTCATATAAGTTCCTTACTGTAAATTTTATTCATTCTGATTTATGGTTAACTTTGCTGGATTATTTTTCTGAACCTCTTTAAATGGTTCTCAATTGTCTTTAACCAGGATCTCTTGCAACATTTGTTTGTGTCTTTTGTTCTCCTTTATTTTATTTGTAATTTTGTTTTAGCAACCGCTTTGATTATTCACCTTTCTTTGATTCTTCACTTTTTTTTTTGTTTTGTTTGGAAGGATATTAACCCTTAAATTCCCAAGATCTCTTTAGTAATTTCCCTTCCTGTCTGCCATATAGTTCTTGTGATGTTAATTTGGAGAATTTGGTAGTGGATCAACTAATAATCCCCTAATTCATATTTTTCTTCATTCTCATCACTTAATATCTGCTTGATATTGTAATGACATTGTAAGGAGAAATTCTGTCTTGGTCACTCATGGGAGATAAAGGGTTAAAGGGCGTGTTTTGGCAAAAATGTTTATGAACAGCTTACTGTTTGTGGTGTGGGAGGTTTACTTTTCAGTTTTCTCTAAAATGATTTTATGAACAAAAGTAACATGTTCCCTCTTTTATAACAACCACACAATGCTTTTCATCCTGAATTAAATCCTTAACACAAAGTTTTCCATTATGATATTGGATGTAAGGTTTGAAAAGTGGGGAATATTGCTTGCTTGAGGTATATCCTTGGACATCCCCAATGTTAGCTAGGGGATATTCTGTCATGTGATGGGTTTAGCAAATATATATGTTGGATTATAATGGCATTTATTGATCATGAGTAATTTATGGTAAAAGTAAGGTAGCTGAAATATTGTAATTATAATGTGTGGTGTTGTAATTAAGAGTTCATAAAATATGAAAAAAGAAGAAAGAAAAAACAGAGAGAAACAAAGACAGAAACTAACTTAGGCCATTGCAAAATACAAGAAACCAAATTGCTGTTTTTGTCTCTGATTGGTTGATTAGATAGTGTTAATATATTAGCCAATCACAGACCAAGGTCATGGAAAAGCTTAGAAATGTCAGACTGTTTCTAGGCTCAATTAAATTTATAAACAGCACTGTGTATGATGAGTAAAACAATCTTTACAGTGTTCAAATCTCTACCAAATTGTCTCCTCTAAACCAACTACCTGAAATCTTGACCCTTTTACTTCCAACATCTGAGAGTTGATTAACTCAACTGAAAACCTTTCACAGTTTGTTTCACGTATTGTTGAGATAATGCCTGAAATTTTTTTAATGCTTAGCCAAAAAGTTCTCATCAAGTTGTTTTAGATGTATTAATTATTTTCCTAATGGTTATGTTTTTCTTTCAGGCCCTTCTTTATGGAAGCTGTGTGTCCCAGAAAGACAACATTACCAACCATACCTGTAATAAGGAGTTTCAAGCACTTAAAGCCTGTATAAGACAAGCAGTAAGTTTTCTGGTAGACTGATAAGATTCGCTCCTGTGATTGAAGGGCTACTTTACGTTGAAGATTTCACCACTAACTGATTTTTGCGTACATGACTGTACATGGAATTTATTTGCACTTGTAGTAATATAGTCAACTGAAAAATTAAATTAATATGACAAAGAAGGTTATTACACATGTCGATTTCGGTTGAAGCGACGGGAAAAATATTATACTTACAATTTGTGTTCCATATGCGGCTAGTAAGTTTCGAAGTGCGATTTGTGGTGACACTTTTGAAATGTAAGTTGCGTAACGAACTTCTAGGTTTTTAAATAATTAGTCACCTGATCTATTTTTGCCGCGTTGCGCTAAGATAATTAAATATTCACAAAAAAATGACAAACGGCTTGAGAAATGCAAATCACTTTTCTTTCTGTGTTTAATCAGCTTGGTTATCATGTTAGTTTTAAACCACAAACTTCAATTATCATGACAAGATAGTCAAATGGGGGCACAAAAGTGTCCTTTCAGAGAGTGGGGTGATAAAAAAGAAAGCCTTTGCTTTATCATGCAATATATTCTTCGGCATACTTGTCCAGAGTTCGTTTCAGTTCAAACTTTGTTAAACATAAGCAGTTAATGACTGGCTTCAAGGGATACAGTGAGTTTTCTTCTCCCAAGACTCTTAAATGTTCCTTGAACTGAAGCCAAAGGGAACAATTAGGGTCAAATAAAAAATGGCTTTTGAGTTGGGAGGTATAACATCATGATTTTAAACAATTGCAAAAGAATTTGTAGTACTTACATACTTAAACATGTACTCTCAAACTAACTCTTATACTCTCAAATTAGTCAGCTTTAATCAGAATTAATCAGGTTCATCCTTTTATCAGTGGGTACTGTCCCGCAGTGAGAGAGGGATGGGGTTTAACTTTTCATTCTCAAATTGTTGGTGTCCTTTTTTTATTATTTTCCTCCTGATTTTAATTAACAGTCATCAGCAAAAATTAGGGACTGAAGATAAATAAGAGACTACAGTAAGTCACTCAGACATAGGACCGCTGTGCTTTTTCTACTTAAATTCAAATACTAACTACCTAAAATAATGTAATAATAATCATTATAATTACTGAAACAAAATGTTTCATTCCTGATTAGTCCATTGTGAATGAATTGAAAAATAACTTATTAAGTGCAATACAGGATTTCCATACTACACACTGGCTTGAAATTAAAGCTTTTAACCCTTTCACTTCCAAGATCTGATTGTTAATTCTCCCCTCTAGCTGCTACACATTTCCTTTTAAATAAGTTACAAGAATTTGGTGTTAAATCAAGAAAACAACCTCTACCTGATAAGTTTAAGTATTCTCCTTACCTCTTTGCTGGATGATGAATGGATTTTATAGGGAGAAGTTACATGTCAATCACTTCTGGGAGTTAAAGGGTTAAAGAGAACTAAACAACAATAAACTTTTAAGTAGTTAAAAGAAAACATTAAAATTTGATGTGTCCATCCTCCTCTGCATTCTAATGAATGATCAAATCAAACAATATAATTATCTTAAGGCATTTTCAAACTGGTTGAAAATGTTTTGAGAAATGTGCACCAGGAATGTACAAAGAGCAGTATTTGTATGAGGTTTTGTTTAGAACATATCATACATAAAAACATATTAAACAGCTCTTACATCTCATTATTTAGGGTTACTCATTATATGTTTTAAAAGTTTTCTAAAAAGCACTCCAATGGTTAGTTCATTTACCAAAGCTTTGTAAACATCACTGATGCCTTTGAATTAAGAGATGCACTTGAGCTCATGGGATTTCCCTTACAAATACATGTGTGATTAAATTAGATTTGTAGAATTGAGTAATAGTGAAAAAGAAATGAAATTCATCATATTTGGAAGATGATGCTCATGTAACTGTTATACTGTTACATACATTTCCCATCTGCTCCCCTGTGCTCACATGTGCCAATTCCTGCAAGAACACTCTGTCAGCCAAGGAAATCGTAGAAGCACAACGATATTCTAGAATCCTTAATCTATATACATGCATTCCCTATTGTCTGTTTTTAACCCTTTACACTCTAGCATCAACATAATTATATGCATATTCTCCATACTTTTCTCTGTGTTCTGACAAGGAGAATTTGCTCAACAATCAAGAGCTTTTTTTTTTTAGTGATCATTTCCTGTATTCTTATGATAATAATGATAATTTAGAAATAATATTGGAAGGAGAAATTAGTTGCATGTCACTATTTTGGGTTTGAAGATTAGAGAAAGCTAATGTTCAAATGACAGAAAACCTGGTGTGCCTGGCCTTTTTGTTTACTCTGCAACAAGATGTTAGTAAAATAGGGATTCTTATCTATAAAAGATTTATCATGTACTTAATTTTTATGATGTATGTATTTTTGTTGCAGGCAAAGAAAATTAAAGTGTAGAGACTTGAAAAGAGAGAACAACTGCACCTGTTGCAGCAAAGTCTAAAAACAGAAGACTACACAGGGAACCCACTCACTTTTTGTCTGGGATAAAAAATGTTATAAGGAGACATTTAGGCTTGTGGAAACTTAAAAAGAATGTAATGGAAGCCCCTGTGCTCATTTTGAATGCTGTGATCTTTATGGCTTTTTATTTGTTTTGTTTATTCAGGTACTTGGAAAAGCTAACATCATGGTAGAATTGATGAATTAAAAGCAAATTATGGCTAATGTGAACTGTGTTAGACTTACTCATACTGAGTATAAAGCTTATTCTAAAATGGTGACCATCCTATGATTCCATTTTTAGTCACCCTACATATGGTTATGTCATTTCCTGTGTACAAATCCAGCTTGTAAAATGTGAGATTTTAT